CCCTCCCACGATGACAGTTCGAACCCTCGCAATCGAACTCGAACTCAAACTCAACCTCCGCGTCCCCGACCTAGAACTCGAACTCGAACTCGAACTCCTCCCCCCCCCTCCCCTCCGAAGCAGACGTACGATGCCAGTTCAAACTGGTATCGAACAGTTCGAACCCCCCCGGGTTAACTCGAACCCTCGAACTCGAACTCGAACTCGAACCCCCCCCTCCCCTCGAGGCACACCTACGAAGGCAGTTCGAACTCGAATCGAACAGTTCGAACCCCCCCGGGGCACACTCTGATTATGCTGGACTTGACGTGACATTTTGTCTGGACTTCTCATGTTTGTGGAGGTTTCATTCCACCGTTGCTGTTTTACTATTAGACAACTTTGGCTCAGTGTTTTTGCATTTCAGCTGCCCTCACGATCGCTTTGAGATCCTTTGGCATCAATGGCAATGGAATCCATTCGTCTTTGGTTGGCTCTGACTCCTAAGCAGTTTGAGGACTTGAACAATGGCAAGGAGATTCAGCCTGACGAATATTCCAAAAGGTTTGGACTACGAAAAGACCCGATTGCTGCCGTTGAGCGTGCGCAGTACTTCAATGATTGGACACCGGAAGGTCCCAAGGGTGAGTTCTGTGCCAAGGATTATGTCCTTGTTGAGGTCGAACTGACCGCCATTGGCTATCTCCAAAAGGCCGAGGCGGGGGTCCTTCTGAAGTATAAACCCAACGAATACCGTTGGCAAGGCACGATGAAGGCTTTGGAGTTTGACCAGAATGGCAACTTATTATACAAGTTTGCCGCGGACGCTCACAGGATCGTCTGAGTAGGGAGAGACCTTACTCCCAATGTATAGGTTTTTGCAATGGTTCCAGGCCGGGTGGTAGTGCTAGGCTTGGAAGCCGACGATAGCTGCGAGGAGAAATGCAAAAGCTGTGATGAAAGAGCTGTCAAGCTGAGATTGGAGTGAAATGACAATTTTTGGGATGTCTTGGAACTTCAGAGTTTTGGACGATTTCGGACTGGACGGAACTTGAACTTGTGGAACTCAGTTTGACTGGTTTTCTGTCAGCTGTCACGAGCTTTGCATGAGTTTTCATTTTTGCTGCATGACATGTCTATGGGTTTTATGCGCAGAAACCACTGTGATCTGTTTTGCAGTTTTGTGAAGGGTTGTGCATGCATTGGCAGTTGGATTTGGATTGAGTTTGCGGTTTGCCACAAGTTTGTATTATTTTTGTTTTGTCTGAGACATTGAAGTTTGGTCGATCACATATTACCTGTCAAGATGTGCGGCACGCATCTTGGGGTAGTAGTGAGTGTGATCTTGGTCGGAAGTGTGAATCATATGTTAAGGTGTGCGTCACGCACCTTAGGATGAACAAGAGAGAGTTTGTGCCTGGCATGGCATGAAATGGCTGAGTTGGAACCTGCATGGCCAGTAGATGGATAGTCAAGTTGAATTGCAGATTATGCCCAAGCTGTATTTGGGCCCCGGCTTATCCCAGCGAGTGCATCAGGCCTTGTCTAGGAGACTCGAACGATTCATGGCAGCGAACGTGCCAGCTCCAGCAGCCCCGGCAGTTCCAGCGGCAGAGAGAGAACTTCCCGTGACTGAGAATCCAGCGCTGACGGCACATACCGGAAATGCTGAGACGGAATCAGAGAAAGAGGGAGAGCAGAACATTGCTCATGTGCCTGGAGAAGACAAGGAAGACAAAGAGGAAGGAGATGCTGGAAGAGATGATGATAGATCGAGATCTCCAAGGTTGAGAATGCATGAGCCATTTGATCCCAGTGATGCTGCAGACCTGTTGAACTCTACTACGGGCTTGGCTGTGGGAATCACTTCGATGGTCGCTGCACTGAAGGGTTCGACGGACAAGCTTGAAACCCTTATCCAACCTCAAGGGTTTCATTTTCTGAGATGGTAGGGGCCGTTCATAGGGGGCGCACTCTCCTTCGTGCCCCGATTGCCTTTCAACCGGCTGTGACCTCAAGCTTTCCTTGGACCACTTGCGTGCTTTCAGCTACTGCAGGATTTACAACAGCCTTTATCCTCTTTTTTTGCTGGTTACTGTCCTTGGAGTGAAGTCTCTGCAACAGCCCCACGACCAACTCAGCCAATATCAGATTGCGAATTTTGTTTTGTTGGAACACGGATTGCACTGGAACTTCAGCGGTGTGTGGACCTCAGATTTGCTGTCGGTGAATCGAATCTCTGTGCATCTTTACAGCATTGCCTTGACGTGACGCAACGTCTATGCACCCAGTCTTGCAAGTGTTGCCAGTGCAGTTTCCTTCAATTTGCCTCCTTCAGACAATGAATTTTGATTTTCATGTGACGTCCAATTCACAGGGGTCAACACCGGGACGTACAGTTTCAGAGCCAGGTGGCGTGCACAAAGCCAGGCCAGGTGCGATGAAATGTCGAACATTGGAGGCGACGGTTCAGAATCGGTGCCAGGATCCCAGTCAGATGTGTTTACAACTCTTGAGACGCCAGACGCAAAGAGACAGAAGACTGACATCAGTAGTGCCAAAGATGCCCATGATGACAATCAGGATTTTCAGCCAGCACAGTTACAGAACATTGCAAGGATAGCCAACTTTGAAGCCATGCAAAGGGTCAGGGCTCATGATATCAAGATGCCTTGGGAAAAAGGGCCGTTAGCTCCGATTTTTGGAGGGCCTATGCCAAATGTGCCATCGGTCAAAAGCTTAATACCGCCGACAGTAGGACTGGTTGACACCTTGGCACCTGCAGTTTTGACAAAGCAAGACACGCCAGTTCAAGTAGGTCCCATTTCAAAGTTTGCTGTGAAGCGCATTGCAGCTGCAAAGTGTGTGGTGCCAGAGGATGAGATGCTAGCCAGGTGTCTCAATCAGATCAAAAACCTACTTTTGCTGGACCTACAGGGGACGGAAGTTGGTTTGACGCTGTGCAACTTGGCAGGAGGTTTGGACGAGTCAGTAGACATTTTACAGGTGCTCAAGGATTGCTTTGCCAAGAAGGCCACAGCAACGATCCTCAAAAGGACATCAGCTTTGTGGACACTAGCAGGCTGGATGCTGGAAAACGAGCAGACACCGGTATGGGATATCAATGAGAATCAACTGTACTCCTATATGTGCTATCTCAGGGATAACCAGGCTGCTCCGACAAAAGCCAGCCACCTTGTGGAAGCTTTGAATTTCTTTGACTCAACGCTGAGATTCAAAAAGACAGTCTGCAGGCAATTTTATCACCCAGGGTTCAAGGCGCAGCCCATGCAATGTACCTGGAAAAGAGGAAACTCAAACAGGCACCTCAGCTTACTGTTGCTGCGGTGAAGGCGCTGGAGATTATTTGCACAAGCAAGACAAGTCTTCTGCGATCAGCTATCTCAGGTGCTCTTTTGTTCTGTATTTTTGCTGCTGCAAGATGGTCGGACTTTGCACGACTTGAGAACCTCTGGACCGACAGATGCGGGGACCTAGTGCTGGTCGAAGCCGAGACGTCCAGACACAAGACTTCGAAGAGCAAGGAGGCTAAGACAAGGCTTCTACCGTTCACAGCTCTGGGAAGGTTCTTTTTGGACGATTCTTGGGGAGAATGTTTTGTCAGTGCATTGAACCAAATCAAGGTTCACACGGGGCTAAGCTTTCTGCCTTCTTGGAATGACAGGAGCGGGACCTGGTCTGTGTCGCCTATGACGACGGCAGAAGCGTCCTTGTTTTTGAAAGAAATGTTGGAGCCCATTTTGGGACCAGAAGCAGCTGCCCAATTCAGCTCTCACTCATGCAAGCCTACGATCCTAACGTGGTGCGGGATGACTGACATCCTCACC